TGGCCCATGGCCTTCTTTTTGTCCACTAAGAATGCTCAAAGGGCTTTAGATCGTTTAGCTATCCCTCACTACAACTCCGTATGTAATGCGTGGGGCATGCGACAGTCAGTGGGCGCTGCGGTGTCCCGGTGATATTTCATATGTTCGTTTTCGTTGATCCTAGTAGCGTCCTTGCTCCTAGTAGCTTCTTGTTCCTATTAGCGATGCCCTTTGCTCCTAGTAGCTTCTTGTTACTAGTAGTGTCCTTGCTCCTAGTAGCGATGCCGTAGGTGATGTTCAGTGATCCGGGCATACTAGATCGTTGTTTTTATTTCGATTGGCACGCATTTTCTAATGCAAACAAGTGATCTATATGGTATTAATTAATCAATTCTACACTACATATTAGTATTTTCTTGAACGTTCCACTAGGAGCAAATAGCTACTAGGGGCTCCTGGCCTTACTACTAGTAACAAGAAGCTACTAGGAGCAAAGGGCATCGCTAATAGGAACAAGGACGCTACTGGGGGCTCTTCTTTTGTGATTTGGCTTCATATCTGCGCTCCATCAGCTCTCCGGGTTGGCCGACCCGCTGCTGAGCCGCTTTGACCTGGCCTTGGCCTTGCGAAGCCAAGGCGGCTATGACGGCGAATGTGGTCTCAATTGCTATTTCCATGTAAAAACAATGCGTTTTGGAATGATTTGTTTCTTTCTTGGTTTGCTTTTGGACACATATATATTTGTTTTCTACTACAGTAGGTAGGTAGAAGCGATGTTCAAGACTTCAGCGAGACGAAGACGTAAAAAAAAGACTCAAATTCTCAAGATAGTGATAGTGAGTCATAGTGAATCAGAGTGAGTCATGGTCGTTTTCCAGGAACAAGCCACTTTGTTCTTCTTGCCCTGAGGTGGAAATGATGAGGACGTCATTGCGTCTATCCTCAATCAGTGTGCCAACAGTACAAACGATTTTGGATGTCAGAGCATGCCTCCCAGTTTAAGAGAGAGAGAGAGAGGACCTAGAGAAACAGCAAGGCAATGAGGACAACTTCATAAGTATTTTTGTGCTTGCACCCAACATCCCTCACAAGCCCTGCTGAGGTCCCGGACAAGTGGAACTGGATCAGCTGAAGGACTTGCAGACAAGATAGCTAAAAACACTGAGATGCTCTGAGCATGAAGATGACCTTGTTTCCCAATATGTCTCCAACAAGTATATGAGCTCCATCTCTCTGACACTTCCCATTGTTTGAGTTGGTTTTGAGAGGGAACGGTGACACTATGTGAAGCATTCTTGCATGTAAAAAAACAAATACAGAAAGGTCTAAAGGTCTAAAGAAAAAGAGGAAAGGAAGCTATAAGCTACTAGTAAGTAGCGAACCTTGTTACTAGTAGTAAGGCCACAAGCCCCCAGAAGCGTCCTTGCTCCTAGTATTAGTAGCGATGCCCTTTGCTCCTAGTAGCGAACATTGCTCCTAGTAGAAAGGTCTAAAGGTCTAAAGAAAGCTAGTAGCTTCTTGTTCCTAGTAGCGTCCTTGTTACTACTAGTAAGGCACTTGTTACTAGAAGCGATGCACTTGTTACTAATAGCTTCGAAAGGTCTAAAGGTCAGATGCACTGTATACGGCTTTACAAACACATGCTTTCTTTTGTGGATTTCTTCGCTGATGGTGAAGGGCTTCATCGTTGCGGCCAAGCAGTCCACACTGGCGGAGTCGGTGGGGAGTGGCTCAGAAATACAGACAAAGAGAACGTGGTTTTCTAGTAAAGACAGTCTTCTGGTAAGTGGGGGGAAGAGTAGGTAGTTTGGTAGTCCAAGAGTAGCTGATTCTTATCTTGGCCATTCTTGTTTTAACTTGCATCCTACTTGTTTCTTGTTCTCGTTCTTTTCCTTGTTATACTCATCTTGATGTAGCTTTTGGCCAGACAAAGGCTAGGTAAGGCCTGGTGGGGGTGACACGTTCCGCGCAGAGGCATATGATGCTTCGTTACTGTTGGAAGCGTACTATCGGAAACTTCGGCGAGGCCCTGGTTTTGAGCTGTAAAGAGCTGGGGAAGAGATGTTTTGTAAACACGCTAAGAGCAATGGCCTCCAACCTAAGAGAAATGGCCCCCAACCCAATAGCAATGGCCTCCAACCTAAGAGCGATGGCCTCCAACCCAAACCCAATAGCGATGCGATGGCCTCCAACCTACGAGCGATGGCCTCCAACCTACGAGCGATGGCCTCCAACCTACGAGCGATGGCCTCCAACCTAAGAGCGCTGGCCTCCAACCTAAGAGCGATGGCCTCAAACCT